ATCTATACAGTGATCGGTCATGGTTTTCCTAATTCATTGTAAATGAAACTATTCAGTCCAGTTGTAGTCTTCGTTAAAATGTATCAGTTTGGTTTGGGTCTATATAAAAATGGACCATGCAGAAATCTGTGACTATCTTCCAATAATCAAACGAATTAATTTATAATCCATATTAGTAAATATAATATAACGCAGTGGAACTTCTATATATGGTCACCAAGAATGTAGAAAAATAACCGCTACATAGAAATGGACGTACTGTAGAGGTGAATATTAACAGATATAGGTTCCAAGTAGCTTACTGCTACATACAGCATATTWTACATCTTAAATTGTCTTATATTTTATTGTGCAGCACAAAACTATTCATATGAAACATTATTGTTATTGGTGGATTTGGTAAATAAGTATGTTGTCTTTATTTTAAATATCTAATCTTTTATTTTTAATGAGATTSATAACTTGAGTTTTCCCGAAGGTAATTTTATTAGGTAGGGCCATCTATTCACAATTTCTTTCTCAAAAAATTCAAATAACTTGATTTTTATCTTTTGAAAAGTTGTAATTTAGTCATCATAAAATGATCTACATTATCAACTTAACAATAAAATTGTTCTAAAATATTTCATCGTATAAACGGAAAGCTATCCAATTTAGGACTAAAAAACTTACTAAGAATCAAAATATTCATTAATCTTAAATCACTTATAAACTTAATTGAAGTTTTTTCCCATWATGTAGCAAAAGTGACAATAATATTTGTTTTATATCAAAAGCCATAAAGAATATGACTTTGTTCTWGAGTAATTAGTAAAAATTAGWAAAATTTTTAACCGCATTCAAATTACAAAATACATTATACACTAGTTAATCAATATACATACAAATTACATAGTTTAACCTTATATTAAACACTATAGAAAATAGATAATACGCGTAAAATATCATGCATAAAGGACATGATTTAAGAATTACTATTTTCACATTAAAAAACWTAATAAATGCAATATAAGGAGCACAATAATGTATTAATTTGGATTACTCATAAATATCATAATTATTTGTATACAGATTATAAGTGTTGATRACCCCGGCTGTATCATACCAAAGATAAAATTACTACCTAGTAAAAATCAAAATTAGCATAAATATTTTACAGGCAAATTAAACGAGTGCATAGCTTTAGAGGTAAATTAAAATATCATGTTTCATTRAACAATAACTGGCAATTGTAATGTAAATTTATTTTCAATTTTAATTCAGTAATAAAATTTTATTTAATGATTTTATATCACCAAAATATAAATTACAGACCAAACACAAATATACAATATCAATAATTTTAATAC